TGCTGAGGAAGACCAGCCCTGAGCTAACATCTATTGACAATCCTCCTTTTTTTTTTTTTTCCTTTTTCTCCTCAAAGCCCCAGTAGATAGTTGTATGTCATAGTTGCACATCCTGCTCGTTGCTCTATGTGGGACGCGGCCTCAGCATGGCCAGACAAGCGGTGCATCGGTGCACACCCGATCCGAACCCAGGCCGCCAGTAGCGGAGCGAGCGCACTCAACCACAAAGCCACGGGGCTGGCCCGGAATAGTGATTCTTTTAGAAGGAAAGAGAGACATGGAATTGGAGGGGGATACACAGAGTGCTTCCAATGAATCTGTGATGTTTTATTTCTTAAGCAGGATGGCAGGTGAAGGGTACAGAGTTCATTATATCAGCATCTATACTTTTTTGTATGCTTGAAACATTTCATAATTAAGAAATTAGAATTATTTTAAAATATTCCCACTCCTCAATGATTAACTGAATGTCCCTTGCACTAGGCACAATCGCTAAAATTATCTGCATAAATCTAACAGTCTTACATGTCTTTTATACTCTCTAGCTCAAAGTAATATTTAAACTAATCAGAAAAAAACACTAGATTTTAATAAAATTTTTAGTTGCCGTTAATAAATAGGAACATATGCTCAACACTCAAAAAACAAAAAATGTACTCTATCTACAAAAATTAGAAAATTATAAAAATTGCTTTTAAACTGTAACAAATTTCTTGAAGTAAAAAAACTTCAATGTTTTCTCGCCACTACTATTCAAAAATCAAGCCACTTTTTAAAACCTCAAAAATTCATGATGGGGCCGGCCCCGTGGCTTAGCGGTTAAGTGCGCGCGCTCCGCTACTGACGGCCCGGGGTTCAGATCTGGGCGCAGGCGCGTACTCACACACCGCTTGTCCGGCCATGCTGAGGCGGCGTCCCAAATACAGCAACTAGAGGGATGTGCAACTATGACGTACAACTGTCTACTGGGGCTTTGGGGAGAAAAGGGGAAAAAAAAAAAAATTTCACGATGTCAGCACAAGTCTTATTAACGAAAACTTGGCTCCAGAGACTTGAGGAAGTATCTTGTATCAGGATTATAGCTCTAAGGGCAGAAGAATGGCACTCAATTTCTAAGTTGCACATAAAGTCTGGAACATTTTCAGCACTTGGTATTTATTAGAAATGTATTTTAAATGTTGCAACTCTTAGTCAGAATCAAAAAGTAACTTACAAATGGAATCCAGAAAGCCATGCCCCAGCCCTTTGGGAGCAGGACATCCCAGCCACTTCCCCAGCCTCGTCGGTCGTCACCAGTCACTTTCCCTGGCTGTTGAATTAGAAGTATAGGTATCTTGGATTCACTGGGACCTAAAACAAGCTGTGACCCGGGCACCAGCAACTCACTCCTCTTCCGGTTTAAATCCTAAAGTGGAAGAAAATAATTCAAGACAAATAACCCTAGTCTTCTGGGAGATTCTACTGCATCTCCCTATAAGCAGCTTTAGAAGTTACATGCTCTTTTTAAAAGCCAGGAAAAACTGTTCTCAATAAATAAATGTGAGACATCTTAAGTACAAGGTCTTCCTCCTACAATGATTTTCCTCTACACAAGTGCTTTGGTAGAAAATGCCAAATTATCTTAAATTTGGGCTAGAATATACTAGATGATTCCAAGTTATAAAATAATATACATTAATTCTGCTAATCTCTTATATCAGGATTAATCTTATATTTTGACACTCTGTCCCTACATTTATTTTGGTTAAAATACTCTGGCTCTTGAGAAAATTTCTCACCAGGTCTTAAGGATTTAAAATAGAAGATGCTATAAATTATTTGTTAAGTGGACTGCAGGCAGTGGATAACAACATCCTTCCAGATTTTCTTGCCAGCTGTAAAGAGATGAACGGGTAGGAGTGGCCTACTACTCAGTTGAGAAAACTAGACAAGAGACTACCTCCATGCTACAGTCTAACTGTTACCTCATGGATGCTCTTCAAGCCATGACCAAGTCCTGATTTTTTTACCTTTGGTTGCGTCTCCACTATCCTCTACATCTTGGTAATTCCAAAATATCTATCTCTTTAGCCCCGACTTCTCCTCCTGGGATCAAATTTGTCTCCTGGACATCTGCTCCTGGGAAGTCCTGAGGCCCCTCAAACTCAGTTTATCCAAGATTGAACTCATCTTTCCCACTGCATTCACTTTCCTCCTGTATTCCTCATCCAGCTACAAGACGCCACAATTCTCACAGGTCATTCATTCATTCATTCATCCATTCAAATATTTACGAGCACCTGTTATATGCCAAACACTCTTCTAGGATTTGGGAATACAGCAGTGACAAGTCAGACCTGGCTCTGGCTCTCTTCTAGCTGAGCTCCTAAACCCAAGCTAGACTGTTAGGAGGTAATCTCTACAAGTCTTCTCCTTTCTCACTCCCCATCTTCCGATCAACCAGAGTCTTGTCAGTTTCACCTTCCAGGAATATGTATTAAATCTCAGCCCCCACTCCAGCCACACTGCCACAATTCAGGCCCCATCATGTCCTGAATTATGGACTATTTCCAGGGTCTCTTTTAAGGCCATCCAACCACAAGTCCTCTCTCCAGCTCCTCCCCATCCCCATCCCTCGTCTAATCCACCCTCCACAGTGCCACCAGAGTGAAATCTGATCATGTCATGGCCCGGCTTAAAACCTGCAATGACACCCTACATCTTCAGTCCAAATCCTTCAAATGCCTCAAGGTCTTTTATGCTCTGGCCCCTATTTATCTCTTCAGTTTCATCTCCTGCCACACCCTCAACTCCAAGCTACTGATCTACTTGGATATTCCTGAACACATCACCCTGTTTTTGGCCTGGGCCCTTGCACATGCTGTTCTCACTTCCAGCAATCCTTTCTCCACTGCAGCCTTGGCTCCTGGCCCCTGGCCCCGAGAAGTCTGGTTAATTCTGACCACCCACCTAAGAGTCAGCTCCTCCATCCAGGAAGTTTTCCCCAATTCCCCTAGTCTGGGCTTAGTATCTCTTCTTTGGGTTTCCCTTGTACCCTGCACTTCTTATCCTAGTCATGTACCTCATCACCTAATACAATACCTGGTCCTGGTAGGAGCTCAATCATTGTGAAATTAAAGACAGAGAACACTTAAGGGAAAAAAACAATAAAAGAAAAACATGTATTCACGATGAGATTATCATTTCAAGAAAAAGTCTTTGTATTTTTCTAGAGATTATTCTTCTCTAAGAACAGAAAAAAATCATAGTATATATCCTAAGTCAGGGATCAATAAATTGTTTGAAAATAAAAGGAAGTCTATGAGATTCTATAAAGTATAAAATAACTTTTATGGTCTCTAGAGCAATGAATTTCAACTTGTATTCATGACTTTACCAATAATCCGTACACCATTCGTTACCTGATCCGAGATTTTATTCTCTGTGACACTCTTACAGATAGCTTGGTTCCAAATAAAGCTATGCGTACACTCCACAGGCACACCCTCCAGAAGGAGCTGTCTAACTTCCTCATTATCTAAGAGGGAAAAGAAATAGCCTTCAAACCACATCCTTTCAATCAATGAAGTCAAACTCTAATCGTTGCCAGTTGACCTTTTGTTACAAGAAAATATTTTATAGGCACTTACTTAACTTCTCTAGAAGGATTTATTTGACTAGAAATTAAATCATTCTTACAGTTGGTTTCATAATCCGTGAAATAGCAAAGTCTCCTAAACTTATTTCTCTGACATTTATTTTTAGTGTATTAGATGCAAATATCACATTAAATTGCCTCTAAATTACGGCCTAATTCCACATTTAAGATAATCAAATTCTAGGACCACTGCACGGGCAAACAATTTCTTGACAATATGCTACAACAGCACAAGCCATATTTTAACTACTGGCTTCAGGGCTCTTTATATCATTTCTGGCCCAATAGTGGTGAGCCAACAGATACAACCCTTTCCTTCTGCCCTGTTATTTCAAGTCTCTGATAACCCTTTTTTATTGAACTGAATATTTTTTTCTGTAAAACATATTTTTCTCATTCCTTTAAAATGAGCATATTTTCTGTGAAATATATTGTTTCATCCCTTTAAATAAGCCACACCATGCCAAAACACTCTAGTGGGAAAAGAGGAGGAACTTTCTTCAGTTATAAACATATGTATTGATAGAGGAGACTTCCTACACATAGTCATTTAAACACTAGGGGGAGAAAAGTCTTCTAAATCTTATTTTGTTGGACTGAAAAATTAAAAAAAAAAAAAGTCACACAATTCACGAGTTTTGGCTAAGGTCCTAAAATGCCAACATAGAAAGGTCACTCAAAGGCACATACCTGTGTGGGTCTGAGGGCTGGAAAAAAAATAAGTTGGAAGCAACTGGACCATAATGTGACAGATTTCAGGGGAGAACAAAGAGAACACTAAATTGATGGAAAGATCTGAGATAAAAGCTCCCTAAAGCAGCAACTGCTTCTAGTACACTGCTCTTCCTCATGGAGATAATAACCAACAGCATCAAGTGACAGTGCTCTGTGCTGCCCAAGTTCACAAAGCCCATCTAGGAGCAAACAAGCCCCATTTCAAACAGCCTCTGTCCACCCAGAACGCTTTCCTGCAGAGTGCTGCCACAGACTTGAGTGAAGGAAGTGGGATTTTATTCAGACCTGGCTGCAGACAAAGGGTGTAAAGACACAGGAAAGCACAACCTCATCTTCAAATATTCTAAAAAATAATAATAAATAAATAGATGAAACAAAGTAAACGGTAAGTCCAGACAATGGATATTATTCAGCACTAAAAAGAAATGAGCTTTCAAGCCATGAAAAGACATAGAGGAACCTTAAATCCATATGACTAAGTGAAAGAAGCTAATCTGAAAAGGGTACATACTGTATGATTCCAACTATACGACATTCTGAAAAAGGGAAAACTATGGAGACAGTAAAGAGATCAGAGGTTGAGAGAGGGAGAGAGAGATGAATAGGTGGAGCACAGCAGATTTTTAGGGCAGTGAAACTATTCTGTATGATACTATAACAGTGGATACATGTTGCTATAAATTTGTCAAAACCCACAGAATATATAACACCAAGAGTGAACCCTAATGTAAATTATGGACTTTGGGTGATAATGACATGTCAATATAGGTTCACGGATTGTAATAAACGTACCACTATGGTGCGGGATGTTGATAGTGGGAGAGGCTGTGCATGTGTGGGGGCAGGGGTATATAGGAACTAGCTGTACTTTCCACTCAATTTTACCGTAAACCTAAAACTGTTCTAAAATGTAAAGTCTATTTAAAACAAAACAGAGTAAGTCTGACGGCAAAGGGGAAGGCCCTTTTAGGTCAAGAGTCTTCACTAGCGAGAGAACAGAAAGTTACCAGCTGGTTAGCAGGCACCTAGGTGTGCCGAGAATGACTATCAATTCTGAATGAAATTCTAAGTCCTTCCCCACGACTCTTATAAGTATATTCTTTATCATACCTAGGAAAAGCTTTCTAATTGACTACATAACTCTAGAATTGTGACTTAAAGGTTGAAGGAAATAGCCTGTTTTCTCCTTTCTTAAATGTATTTACAGATGCTCAAATTTTAAATTAAAACTTGATTAAGTTTTACTTAGAGAAGCAAAGGAAACTAATAATATAAGCTTTCTGATCTGGGAATCAAATAAATCAAAGTTACAGTCTTCAAACTCACTCTATTTTAAATTAAATACACAGAACTGTTAAAGGGGCCCAGCTGTAGCAATTAGGATTTTTTTCTCCTAAGAGCAGAAACAGGGAAGTCATGGCAAGATGACCGATAAATGTGCATTTCTGAAAGTCAACTGCAGACCAGTGCTCTAAAAGTGCTTGCAAAAGCTGTAAAAAGTGAAGGGATGATCTCTCACCTATCATTCTAAAGGCAACTTGACTCTTCCTGTGTTTGGTGTCCACACTAACAAAGAGTGTGTAAAGAGAAAGATTTTAAAAAGCCATGAGCACAATCTAAGTGCAATATTTTCTAAAGCAAAATATTCATCCGTGGAAGACAAAGACTAGTTAAAATAATCTATCAAAACAAATCAGCAGATGCTAAGGAGAGCAAATACTTAAATAATAGTATAGCAGAAATTACCCAAAAACCAGTTACACACATAGTGAAATGCTATCTTAATGAAGTTGAAAAGATTTGCAACAACACATTATTAATACATAATTCAAAATCAAGAACCAAATGATCAAGTAAACTTTCTCAAAGCAAGTAAGAATACAGCTCATCACTTAGGTTCTTCATTGGAAGTTTCCTTCTCTGTACTCCTACTACTCTACTCTCAATACCTCTGACACTCAAATGTGCCACCGTCGTTCCCACAGCAAGCAATTCTCAGACACCAACTTAACTCAATTCTGACACTATCTGCTGGGAGATAGCACCAGATTCCGTCGGTTAAGGGCTCAGTCCCACAAGACTGCTCCCACTTCATACACCAACTGAAAGTCCCCACCTCCCGAAGTTCTGACCAATGGGCTATATATTGGTCTGACCCACGACCCCCTCCTTGGGTTCAATAATTCGCTAGAAACAACTCCCACACTCAGGAAAACAGATCACTGACTAGATTATGGTGTTTTTGTTTTTTATAAGAGGATACAACCAAGAACAGCCAGGTGGAAGAGATGCACGGGGCAAGGCATGGGGGAAGGAGTGCGGGGCTTCCAGGCCATCGCTGGGCACTCCATCCTTCCAGCACCTCCACATGTTCACTAAATCAGAAGCTCTCTGAACCCCATTGTTTGGGATGTTTATGGAGGCTTCATCAAGTAGGCATGGTTGATCAAATCATTGGCCAATGGTGACTCAACTCAATCTCCAGACCCCCTACCCTCTGCGAAGGAGTGGGGGCTGAAAGTTCCAAGCCTGTAATCACGTGATTGGTTCCCCTGGCAACTCACCCAGCATCCTCAGGGGCTTTCCAGAAGTGACTTCATTAACATAACTTCAGGTGTGGTTGAAAGGGGCTTGTTATGAATAACAAAAGACCCTCCTTTAGCCTTTATGGCACTTATCATTTAGTAAATTACCAGGGTTTTAGGAGCTATGTGCCAGGAACTGTGGACAAAAACCAAAATATGTATTTCTTATTACAATATCACGTTCCTGTACCCTCTCTCTTCAGAGCTCTCTAACTCCCAGTACACATAAGAAAATAAAAGAGTTTGTTATCCGCATCAAACACCGCTTCACGGTTTAAGTAGCACCAGAATTGGTCTGTTCTAAGTCAAAACAGGTAGAGAATGATTTCAGACATAGAAAGACTGGATGGATGTCAGAGAATTAAGTTTTAGATCATCATGACATTGAGATTCTTCCAAGGATTAATCTTTTATTTATTGACTCAGCTCATCAAAGTATATTTCTAACTTTAGTTTTGAATTATCTTCCTAGATAATACGTTACATCTGTTAATAATATTGGTCTAATACCACCTCCTTAAGAAGTTTACTTCTCTATGTAGCTCACATGCCAATACTTCAAAGAAATTACTTAAAACAGGTTTTAATGAAATTCCACAAAACAGGTTTTAATGAAATTCCACAATGACTAACAAGATGGAAAGCTTTTATAGCAGAAATTAAATCACGTTTTTCAAGATAGATTTTAATTTTCCTTGAACTGATTCATATTAAGATAAAAGCCTTAGAAAGGATTTAATACAAAACTGCCTCATCCCAAAAACGAATTTGAGGCAGCAAGAGAAACTAAGTGGAATTTAACTATAGCTTTAAGGCGATTATGATAGTCAACATTAATGAACTTGTAGACACTAAAACTTTTATGGTTGTACCAGACCATACTGCCATTAAAAAAGAAAAGAGGCAACAACTCATTGATTAAAGTCTTAGGCTCTATAATTAACTAACTTACCTATATAACTTCAAACTCCCCTCTCATCCAATCCACTTTTCATGTGAAGTTCTGACAGAGTAATTTATTGCCCCGTTAAGCTATCTAACTACATGTGGAGGTAAAAAAAATTCTTAAGTTGTTACTACACACACCACCTGTACTTTTTCTCCAAAAATTCACAAGCTAATTTTAATGATTCTTCCAATAAACTGTTTAAACGACAGTAAATACAACGTAACATTATCCCAACTGCTGCAAATCCCAGATCAGACTAAAATTTTAGCCAGCCCCTACCCACCCTCCTATGCCACCCAGCCAAACTCCCTCAGGCCACTCTACTGAGTCTAAACCAAGACATCTTACCCTTCAGCACCTGGGATGGCCTTGCCAGGATTCGAACCTGGATCATCTGTATGGTCAGACAGAGGCTTCCAATGAGCACAAGACCAGCTGCGGGTGCAGATCCCTTCCTCACAATTAAAATTCTGAAATGCCAGGCATATTCAGAGAACCCAGTTTGCAGAGAGACAGGTTTTACTAAAAATAAAGAACTCAGGAAAAAAAATGAATATAAGGATCAGGCTACATGTTCAAAGATACTTCCACACACACCATCTCCTTTGATCATAATCACCTTGAAAGGCAGGCAGGTAAAGATGGCCCTAATTTTTACAGCTGCAGTTACTGCAAAGTGTCACAGACAGAGCTCTTCTAACGGGACGAGACTGCTCAAAATAGTAAGGAAAACCAGGAGTGTTTCAAGAACTTTACCTTGGCATTTTTCTGGATTAGGCAAAACTGTGGACCTCTTCTGAGGCAAATTTATTCGAGGATCCCCAACTGTCAGTCCCAGAATAGTACCTGCTGGAATTTCTGCTGGTGATGTTATTCCTTTAGCAAAAAAAAAAAAAAAAACAAGCTTAGGGAAAGTCATTCGTAATACATACATATTTACTTGTGTTTTAAAATTTTTCTAATGAAACTTTTTTCTTGGGCTAATTATTTAAAAACACGTATTCTCTTTTTTTTCCATTGATACTTTTAGAGAATAAATTAACATTCACAAAGAATGAAGTTTCTTACAAAAAACATTAAATTAACTAAGAAGTTATTTTACAACTTGAACATGTATGTTTCTATCAACGATAACAATAGTAGCTATAGGCACAAATGCAATCATGTGCAGTTAAGTACAGATTTGAGGTTAGTACCTGGTATGTGCATTTATCTAAGTATCAGAATGCCAGTTATTTAGAATACTAACATCTCATTTGTTTGTTGTTTCATTAACAAACTCAAATAGTGTTTATTCACGGAGTTCAGGCACCTCTCTTACTTACTTTCTTGCTGTATTATAACAAACAGTTATAAGTTAGAAAGCACCAATACACGTAGGCAGCCCAACTGCAAAATGCTCTTGTAACCCACTTCCCACTCCTCCCTTCTTCCCCAACACACCCCAGGACTCCCTCTGTATACCTCCCAACAGTTTAAAAATGGCTTCTTGTCTGTGATGAAGGGAGACGCTATCCGGATTCTTACAGGTTTCAATCCACCAGTGGTGAGGTGTTTTCTCTGTGTCCTCTCCCTCCTGAAAAATAACGACTCCCATTCACCAGACAAACAACGAATCAGACTTAATTTTGTTATGGCTGATATCAGCCCCTACCCTTCTTTTCTGTATGGGAACGAATGTTTTATGGGGGGAATCAGGGAAACTGCCACTATATTTAACACAGTAATTAATACCAGACTAACTACTCTTCTAATTAGAGGCAAGACACAGCATTACACTTCTCTCAAGATTTCACAGAGACTACCTAACTGGGCTACCTCATACCTGCGTTCTCTCTCTCCAGCAGAGCGCAGACAAGAGAGGCCTTGCTCTTTGCTCCTCTCCCACCATTGCCAACTTCACTATCACCAATTTAAGCAATAAAACCTTCCTCACCAAAGACAAACCAAACTAATACCTTTTGAAGAAATTTTCAGCTAAAGGATATATTACAACTATATCATATGCCTGGAAACTTCAAATAAGACACACAAATACTTATATTTTTTCTGGACAGAACTAGGAATCGAGCAAGGTTTCAAAAGGCACTCCAACTACCGTGTGCACGCCCTGGAAGGGAACCTATAGCCATGATTCACACTGAAGCTCACTGAAGGAGGATGTGCCCTTACAGATTCTAAAGAGGCAACCTGTGACAGGCACCATTTACCTCACAGAAACTCAGGTAGCATAGCTTAGTAGTTTAAAGTACAGGCTCTGGAACCAAACTTCCTAGGTTCAAACCCTCCCTCCCCCTGCAACTTATTAGCTAGAGTGGAGCACTTACTCTGCGCCAGGCACTGTGCTAAGCGCTGGGGGCAGAGTAAAGAACAGGCCCAACCTGCCCTTGCTGTCACGAAGCTCAACACAAACATCATATAAATACAAAACAAATCTGGACATATAAATTGAGGAAGTGTACGAGATGTAATGAAAACAACAGGAGGGATATAATTTAACTTTGCGGGATCAGGAAAGGATTCTAGAGGGAAACGACATAAATGGTGAAACCTGAAGAACGAGGAAGGTTTAGCCAAGCAAAGAGTGGTGGAGGCAGGATGTTCTGGTAGGTGGAGAAAAGCAAGTGCGAAAGCTTTAAGGGAGATGAGAACTGACATATTCTAGTACCTGAAAGAAGGCCAGTGTGGCTGAAGTGCAGGAGGGGAGGAGGGATGAGGCAGGAAGGAACAAGATTACACAGTCACATTAAGGGCTTTGGATTTTATCTTAAATACAATCAGAAGCTATTCAAAAGCTTTTAATCAGGGAGTAACACGATGAGAACAAATTGTTAAAAGATCACTCCGCCTCCTTCGTGGAGAATGGAGTGAAAAGGAGGAACGATGGAGGAAAGTGAAGAAGGTGCTTCAGTATTCAGGAAGACAACAGTAGTTGAAGCTAGCGTGGAAGCAATGAAGAGAGAGACAGAAGTAGCCTTGTTTTTTAAGTATCTTTCTTCTAAAAGCTCAAAATCTGTTCAGATCTATCATCATATTTGACCACGTCAAATCTGTGAGAGGCACAGACACTGAAAGGTTAATTGCACTAATATAGGCAAACACACCAAATCTGAACCCAGAGTGTCTGATTCCCAGTCTAGGCTCTACTCTCTAGACCTGCGATGTCAACATGGCAGTCACTAGCTACTCAAGAGCTATTCGAATTTAATTTTTAGTTGATTAAAATTAAATAAAGGTATAAATTCAGTTCCTCAGTCACACTAGCCACATTTCAAGTGCTCAACAGCCACATGTGGCTAGTGGCTACCATACTGGATAGCACAACAGAACATCATCAGCACAGAAAGTTCTACTGGACAGTGCTGCACTAGACATATTGCTCTCAACCTTTTTAGGGACCACAGACTCTTAAAACTAGCCCCAGAAAATACACGTGACACAAGCAGAAACAAAAAACATTTGCACACACTTTCAGGGATTTTAGGGGCTCCCGGGTCCCCACCTAAGGAGCAGAAGACCCTTCTACAAGACTCACACGCTGCAAAAGTAGTCTATATTTAAATAAGAACAAGTCAGTTTACTAATTACATTCACTTAGATTTGTTCTTCTAGAAGCAAAAGAAGATAAAGTCTTTAATAATAAGCATAAGTAGGGAAATAAACATTTATAACCATGGCCCAAAATGTTACCAAATTATATGTAAGGTTTCACAAATTTGCTAAGATGGACATGACTAAAATAAAACATTACAGTCACATTTTTTCTTACGGTGTGGACAAAAGCAGCTTTCAGTGCCTCAGTGAGGATGGAATGGGAAAGTGGACCAATCAGCCGGAATCTGTTCATCTCCATCGTCAAATCACTGAAAGACAGTAAAGGTTTTAAAATGGAAACTTCCATTATATACAACGTCTGTGCCACTGGCAAAAACAACACCATCACTCAAAATGTTCAGAGCAAATTCAACGCGTACCTGATTATAATGCCTGTGGCTGGAGAGATCCAAGAATATGGCTGATGTGGATCTCTAGTTCCGTCACCAATGACTTTTTTAATTGGGTTACCATTTTCTCCATCATCTTTCCGTTTTCTTTTCCTGCCAATTTTCTCCTCAGGCAGTTCCATTGGGCTTTTTTCTTGGGATGGTGTCAGAGGGGGGTCTGGGATGCAGACAGCAGATTTGATGGGTTCCGTACACTGGCACACTGCTTTTATTTCCTCTAAGATATCCTAAGGGTGTATTTAAATACTTTACTTTTAAATTTTGAAATTTAAATACATTACAAATTTAAATAGGTTTAGTTTGTTACTTCTTCTCCTTTTAAAACTTTACATTTTTATCCCTTCACAAATTAAATTCATCATCATCAAAAAGCTTTTTTGGGTTTTCTGAGTAGTGCATGGCACTTTGAACAACGAGAAAAACTCCTAAATGTCAAAGATTAATGAAAACAACACCACTATTGTGACTAAATTTTAAAAAAAGTTTAAAGAGAAAATTGTATAGTCTACCATATAAAAGCAGTGAGTATGCTAAAAAAGGGAAGCTAAGCTAAATGCAGTATTACAAATCATCAGAATTATTCAAAACAACGTCTCATCATCAGATAGGCTCTAACAGGCACCTAAATACCTATGAACCAATTCAGGCACGGTGGAAGCATTAGTCCAAATGCAACATTTCAAGTCATTTGCATGGTAAGGTTGGTTTCCATCTCCACTTCTACTCATGGCTTACTACAAAGTGACAGGTCAAGATTTGCTTCATTTAATATTCACGCAACTTTTCTTCCTATATTCAAATACCAAACTAACAGCCAAACTTTTATACTATTTAAATTTCTACAGCATTGATTCCCAATAGTAATCAAGAATGCAGTAACAGAGTGATTGGGAAATAATGTCCAGGACTATACCTGTTTGAGAGTTGGATGAAGCCAGATCCACAACTGCCTGCTCTCCGAAGCGCCACCAGGGGTCCTCTCAGACTTCCAAATAAAGGTAACAGGCCCCAGCATTTCTCTGGGATATTTATTTGCCCGGTAGAGCACGAGGCTACCTTGGCGCTTTCCAGACAAGCAGTGAACTGCGGCAAAAGTCAATCCTGACATAAACAAAAACAAGATTCCACAATTTCAAGTGTTGAGACTGCAGGATTACTTCCTGATAGCCACATTGTTATTTACTGTCTATCTTCAGGAGGGATGAGGCTTTGGTTTTGATTTCTGCTTAGATCAAAGCCTGGCACACAGTAAGTCCTCAATAAATATTTATTGAATGAATGGTTTTGTTTTTTTTTTATTGTGAGGAAGATCAGCCCTGAGCTAACATCCACGCCAGTCCTCCTCTTTTTTTGCTGAGGAAGACTGGCCCTGAGCTAACATCTGTGCCCATCTTCCACCATTTTATATGGGACGCCGCCACAGCACGGCCTGAGAAGCGGTGCATCGGTGCCGCGCCCGGGATCCGAACTTGGGCCGCCAGCAGTGGAGCTCTCGCACTTAACCACTACACCACCAGGCTGGCCCCGAATGAATGATTTAATGAGTTTTGAGGTTCTTCCTGACTAAATTCACTCCACCAGAATAATGGTTCTCTCACTTTACACTTGACAATGTTAGAAATGATTTAAAAGCCACCCCAACCTTTCCATATATTAACATACTGGGAACAAGAACTGTCTCACATTTTTATATATGTTTAAATTCCAAAATGCTTACAGCAAACATTTGTCCATAAAATGAATAAATACACAAAGACTAAAATTAAGACTCAGCTTTGAAACAAGTTTACCTGTGTCTACGCTACACATTGGTGACAGTGCCTTTAGTATTTCTTCCTCTTTGCCCTTCAACTCCAAACAACAGTAGTAAGATAAATCCTGCACAAAGAGGGAGACACAATTAATACTTAGGAATTTACATGGGGGAAAATTGCTAAGATGCCTAAAGCCACATCAGAAAAACTTCTAGAGGTCCAAGACACAGAACAAATTGCTAAAGCTATCATTTCATCATTCAAAATCTGAAACCTGTCTATTCCTATTATATTAGCAAAATTCTTAAACCAGTTTGAATCAAAATCAAAATGAATTTCCATTTAAATGTAGGTTACAGTGTCCTACTTTTTAGAAAGAAAATCTGTGTTTCATCTCATATTCACAGATAAGTTGTAAGAAGGGTGTAAAAACTGCTGCCTCTAAGTAAAGGCTTATTCCTTCCCAAAATCCACCTAAAGTAATAAATCAGAGTAGAATTAGCAAGACAGTAATAAATTCTGCAAAATATGCTAAGGTTGTTCACTTTGGTTAGCTAATTCAGGACCTCAAGATTACTTAACACTGAGCCTAGAAATATATGTTCAATTAATTTATCCCATATTCCTCCCATGCTCAGTCTTGACTATGATATGCAACTTTGACTAAGCTATGTACAAGGAAAACTGAGAGTAAGACCTTAGCATTTTAAATAAGACAAACAGAGATCAAACTGAGTTAGTAAAATCAATATGATAAAGAACTATAATAATAGTTAACAGTCACTGAAGAGTTACTGAGTGCCAAGCCCGGGGCTAAATCCCTATCTGGACTGTCATTTAATTCTCCCAACACCTGATGAACAGGTACTATTGTTATCTTATTTGACAGATGAGGACACTGCGACAGAGACCGTTACTTGAATAAAGCCATATAATGTGTAAGTGGAGAAGCTGGCATTCAAGTCAGGCTCACTGTCCCCCGACCCAACCCCTCTGCCGTCTCACCTTTAAGCAATGTCATACACTCAGCAACTAAAACTAAATGCAGATTATAGATGAGTTTCTGACAAACTCACATTAATCAATACTATCACTCACACACAAAAAATCTTCCCAGCAACAGTGATCCACTCTCAGCTGTCAGATGAACCTCAACCAAATGTATACAACTGGGTGACAGAGAACAATGGTTAAGAGCATGGAACCCTGGAGTCAGACTACCTGGGCTCAAACCTCAACTTCACCACTCACTGGTTGTACGACCATGGGTAAATAACTTCTCCGTACCTTAGTTTCCTCATCTGTAAAATGGAAATAACAGTAAAAACTTACCTCATAGTCTTGTCAGAATTAAATGAGTAAACATATGTAAAGTACTAAAACAGGCATAAATTAAGTACTCAAAATATGTGTTATTATTAGCTATTATTTTTATTACTTAGGGCTGATTAAATGTAAAGAAAATATCTGATAACCTCAGCAAAAATTGTGCCCCAAATCAGAAGTAACTCTTAAGTCTGTCTTAAAATTTCGGAGATGGCAGAGTACAGTGGAAAAAGCACAGGCCAGAAGAATCAGCTGCCCGAGTGCTATGTGCGTGGGCCACCGACAAGTTGTGTGGCCCTGGGCAAGTCACTTCATCTCTCTGGATCCCAGCTTCCTCAATGGAAAATGAAAAATTTGACTATAAGCTATGATTTCTGTGGCTAAGTCTTCAAACCAAAGGCTCTTAAAAGGTTCCTGTATTCACTTCACACCCATTACGATGGCTATTATCAAAAAAAAAACAGAAAATAACAAGTATTGGTGAGGACATGGAGAAACTGGAACCCTTACGCATTGCTGGTGGGAATGTAAAATAGTGTAGCCTCTATGCAAAACAGTATGGCAGTTCCTCAGAAAATTAAACACGGAATTACCATATGATCCAGCAATTTCATTTATGAGTATACACTCAAAAAAACTGAAAGGAAGGAACTAAAGAGATATTTGTATACCCATGTTCATGGCAGCACTATTAACAACAGCCAAGAGGCCGGCCCCGTGGGGCAGTGGTTAAGCACACGAGCTCTGCTTTGGTGGCCCCAGGGTTCACAGGTTCAGATCCCAGGCGTACACCGATGCACCGCTTGTCAAGCCATGCTGTGGCACTGTCCCATATAAAGTGGAGGAAGATGGGCACAGATGTTAGCCCAGGGCCAGTCTTCCTCAGCAAAAAGGGGGAGGATTGGCGACAGATGTTAGCTCGGTGCTGATCTTCCTCACAAAAAACAAAAAAAAACAATAGCCAAAAGGTAGAAGCAGCCCAAGTGTCCATTGACAGACACATGAATAAACAAAATGTGGTATATATACATATACAATTAAATATTATTCAGCATTAAAAATGAGGGAAATTCTGACACATGATACAACATGGATGAACCTTGAAGACATTATCCTAAGTAAAATAGGCCAGGTGAAATATTATCCTCAAAAGGATAAATATTATATGACTCTGCTTATATGAGGTTGCTAGAGTAGTCAAACTTATAAACAGAAAATAGAATGGTGGTTGCCAGGGGCTGGAGGGAAAGAGGAACGGGGAGTTAGTGTTTAAGGGATGCAGAGTTTCAATTTGGGGAGATGAAAAAGTTCTAGAGCTGGATGGTGATGATAGTTGCAAAACAATATGAATATACTTAATGCCACAGAACTATACACTTAAAAATGGTTAAAATGGTAAATTTGACATTATGTATATTTTACGACAAATTTTTTAAAAGGGTCTTGTATTGATAATTCTGCTATATTGCTCTCAAGAAGTATCAGAGGATATTAATACTAATGGCTTTCCGGCCCCGTGGCTTAGCGGTTAAGTGCGTGCCCTCCGCTGCCGGCAGCCCGGGTTCGGATCCCGGGTGCGCACCGAGGCACCACTCCTCCAGCCATGCTGAGGCCGCGTCCCACATACAGCAACTAGAAGGATGTGCAGCTATGACAGACAACTATGTACTGGGGCTTTGGGGGAAAAATAAATAAATAAAAAAAAAAAATACTAATGGCTTTCAAAAGTTGGCCAAGGTCATCCTGCCATTGAAAAAGGTAGGCCCTCTGCAAAGGACAAATTTCTAAATATGTACTAGAACAGAGAGAAAGCAATTGAACTAGGAATTTGTGTGTGGGGGTTGGATAATTTATTAGCCAGAGAAATATTACGAGGCTCTAAAACCAACTGTCTTCTCAAAGAGTTTAAAACAAACTTTCCAGCATCCCACTGAGTCATAAACATCTAGAACAGCATTTTGAACACTGCTCAGGGCACATAAATGGTTCTCAAATATCTGCTGTTGATGAATGACTACTAAATGAATCAATACTGAATAAATCTCGAACACGACCAACAAGACCCTGAATGATCTGGTTCTTACTTATTCCTCCAGAACTTGTCTCACCCTAATGTTAGCCTTGTTCTCACTCTCTTCAATTCTTCCCTCTCACGTGGCTTCCTTCTGCCTCCCTCACTCTCCCATTTTCTTCTCCCTTAGAGCTCAGCTGAAACACCACTTTCATGAGGAAGCCGTCCTGTTCCTCTGTTACAAATGTTCATAGTATTGTATATTTTCCGTTACAATTGTATATTCAGCTAATCATTTGATTAATGTGAGTCTCCCCCACTAACTTCAGGCTGCTTCATCCCCGGCATCTGGCAAAGTGCCTCATGCTCAGCAATCATTTTTAAAATGAATAATCTCACAGACAGGGCTTTGGCTATTCTAAAAGTCTATCTACATCAGAAAGGATCTAAACAAAAACAAAAAGAAAACCAATTGGAAAAGCTTACCTGAAGGAGGCAACGGTCAGTCATGGCTCGATAGCAGGCTCTGTGGCTCTTGGCCGTGGGCCTCTCCCCGAGGCAGTAGCCCCACTTCTTGACCATGTGAAACCGTTTGGCGTGCCAGATATGAGTTTCTAACCATATGTTCTTCTTTTGTCTACGGTTAAATTCTAGCGTCCGGTTGATGTGACACCTTCGAGCTTTATGGCACTTATTTCTTGAATGTTCTTTTTTCTGATGTACTGCTTTCTCTGCCTATAGTTTCACCAAGAGAGGCAAATCCTAGTTTGTAACCACCTCACAAGAAAGTTAAAGGTTAGGAATTCAAACAACTAACAACTTTAGAATAAGTGGAGTACCTTACAGACCCCAAGAGTTTGCTTAATTTTTTTAACTTGATGATTTCTTCAAAGTAGAGGAGGCAATAGAAAGAGTGAAGATTTTAGAGACAGGCAAACACAGGAAGGAAGCACAGTTCTATCACCTACTACTGCACAAGCTTCATGGACCATGAAGGTTAGAATATTTATAAAATGTTCAACACAGTAACTCAAGCTTACTGTAGCTATTAATATTACAGAGCAAAAGGGAATAAATCAAATGCTAGCTTTTTGTTGTTGTTTTTATTGTTTTTTAACATCTAAGATTACAACTAAACACAAAACTTAGGATCAAAAATATAAAAGCGGAGAAAACCTACACATTTCATATCAGTTAGGTACTGGCAGACAAATGCTAAATATCACTGGGAAACAGACCTCACATTAAACTTACAAAGTATAAAATTCCTATTCAGTTTTTACTCTTAATCTCTTCCGTAGCCAACCCAAACTTTGTGGAAAAAACTCTTCTCCATTAGTTTTTGGGCCCCTTAGGGATAAGGACTTTACCTTGATGAACTCTAACCCCACCAGCAGCAGAGAACCAGTACATACAAGGCACTTGATAAAGAAATTCTGAATCAATTAGTAAAGACATGGGGAGCTTAGACAATCTGAGAATGTCCAAGCCAAGAATTTTGGTAAAGCCAAAAACAATCAGACTTGAACAAGTTCAAGTTCAATTAAATCCAAGTTCAAGTTTTCAACTTTGAAAAAGTCAAAAGGCAAATACTGAGCATTGATGCTGCCTTTTTCTAACCTTCCAACTCCAAGCTGGCCACACCCCAATATGCAGAGCTAAACCTGCTTATCTGCTAAGAGGGTCAGAATTTTATTTTAAATCTGGCAGGGTAACGTCAACTATTTAACACTATTAAAAGAGAGGGGCTCCAAATGCTATATTTAAAAGCAGCTGTAATATCCAACATCCTGCTAATTTACGGGGGAGTGGATAGCAGAGGTTGGGGGGATAATGATGAAACCAAAAAACACGCAAAATGAGCATGTTGTTTTTTAGTTTTCATTTTAATAAATTCTATAGGTTAACACTTCTCAATTTCTTTTAGGAACTACTAACCTAATCATTCACACTAAGTGAAACTTTTACCTCTTTCTGGGCAATCTCCTGTAACCGTCTAGGAAGGCGTTTGACATTGTGGCTCATGGCTCTTCGTCTCATGTGCCGTGGCAGAGTCTGAAAAACCAGTGAATTAGAAGACTTCTGGGTCACTGCTTTCAACATAGTGCTGATTTCAGCAGCTCGGGCTTGAGCAAAAGTAGAAGCTGTCAAAGGAAACAGCACTGTCATGAAAAGCAAGTCTTGAATCAACATTCTTCCTGGTAGATTTCAGAAGGCAGACAGATTTGCAGCACATGAGCTTACAGGTCACCCACCACCCTAACCCCCATTAGATTAACACCAATAGTAGTTATTTCTGTGCTATACGATTGTGAAACTATTCTTCTTCAATTTTTATATTTTTAGAGTTTTCTGCAAGGATTCAGTTTCACTTTTCTAATCAGAAAAAAAGTTAAAAAATAAGTTTACAAAGAGTTTTTTAAAACAGAAAGCTCCATGCAACATAATCACAACCATTTTTAAGTGCAATAATTACAAAAGAAAATAAAGAAAAAACAAAATTTAAACAATGGTTTTGACTCAAAGAGTTTTTAAAAATATTTTCTGCTGCTTACAAATATATGACCCTAACTATTATTCATTTTCTTTATTGAAAAACAGACATTTTCTTGAACAGTAAACAGAATGCTGAGGAAATGTCAGTGAATTCCTCCAAGAAGGCGTAAAGAGAGACCAGAAGGCACCCCTAACGTGTGTATAAGGAATCCAGGGTTCTATGGTAGTGGGGGTGAGGGTGATGGGGTGGGGCGACAGGAGATGAGGCTGCAAAGGGCCTGGAGACAGTGAGTTAGAGGTCTTGGTTGCCCTTAGGGTATATTAAATTTGGTTTCATCCTTGGAGAATGCTGTGTTGAGCAGTACAGATGGCATTTTACATTTTAAAAACGTGGGGTGAGGGGACAGAGATTTTGAGACAAAGAGGAACAAAGTCCTACACAAATAAGGACTTACAAGAGGACAGGTAAGAGAAAGGAGAGAAACAGAAGAATAGAGAGCAATCAGGCCCACAGAGGTGACGGCCCAAGTCCAGGCTGGAGGTGAGAAGGGCCCAGAGTGGAAGGAGGAGAGGAGAGAGATGGGGAGGCAGGCTGAAACACGACACAGGGCTTTAGAAATCCGGCTGCATTAGAAACAAAGAGCTCATAGTACAATCCAACATCACTTCTTTACAAATACCTACCAGTTATATACTTGGGAATCTCCTGAGAAGTGCCCTCGGAACCTGCTTTCCATCCTCCCTTTTTTTTAAACATTACTTTAGAGCAAGACTGTTCATTCACATCAGGCTCAGGTGGTGCATGGTGGGTCATTTTGGTTTGCCGTTGCTGTGAAGTTCCAGAATATGGCTCTAGCATATTTTCAAAAATAAAACGAAAAGAAATGTGTCACTCTTATCAGGGACAGGAATTACAGTGAAGAATAACACTTGTTGGGTGGCAACACTGATCATGTTTTTAATCCTACAACGACCCTGTAAGGTTGCTATTACTATCCTCCCTTTAAAGAGGAGGGTAGGGAGGTGAATTAACCTGCCCACGGTGACATAGCTAGTAGGGAGCACGCTAGCCAATCATGTCAGTAGGACACACGAAAGAACCTTGGATATAGCTGATACAAGGGAACTTTCTCCACATAAACAGTGCAACATGGATTTTAACTCTAAGCTTCCTTAAGTACTATAATCCACGTGATTTTGTATATTCAGTCTTTTATCACAATTCTCTGTCACACTCAAGTTGGAAGTCTTTAGAGTAAAGAAAAAAATAAAAGCAAAGTCTCTATACAAATGTCTGGCATTCAAACTATTCTGACTTTAAGAAAACATCAAATCCCTGTCTCTGAATGGAGGGAGAGATCAGTAGAGAATTTTATGGTGTTTCTGCTTATTTCCATTATAGTGTCAAGCCCCTTTAATCATGAAACATGTTACAAGGTTTGTCATTGTGAGGTTTAAATGAGACAATATGTGTTAAGGTTTATCATATGGCATAGCAGCCATCAACTGCTGGATGTGAATCTAGATCTTATGAATATGAATCTAAAATCTACTTAATCAGACCCAATGCACACTATTCTTTAAAGCGTTCCACAAAAGTTCCTGGGCACCTGCTTGCTGTCTTCCCACACTGGCACTTTCTATTGCTGCCCAGTGAACAACTATCACCTTCATATCACCTTATAAGGTTCTAAAGTACACAAGTTAAATGCAGATATGATGACTGCACTGTCTTTCTTTTAGAAAATACAGAAGCGTAATTTAATTATAACTGTTAAGGTAGATATAAAATACATCAGCTCTAAAATACATACAGCCAATTCTCGTTATTGCCAATAGTGATGTTCTATAAAGTCACAGCAAACGCTGAATTAGCAAGTACTGAACCACTGTTCCTAAGGGAAATATGTACATATATATACATATATATCGCACATAAATTATAATCTTAAATCATAAAAACAACTCATCCTGGTAGATTTTATTTCTTTTATTTTACAAAGAGAAAATGAGGTTCAGAAGTGTTAAGTGACCTGCCTGAGGCCGCCCCACAGTTAGAATTCAAACCCCAGTCAGAGCTGGAGCTTCTTGTACTATGTTCCACTGCCCACTATGGTCTCCATCCTCAGGTCATCTCTGTATAAAAGCTGAAACAAGAAGGCAACTGGGAACCTCAGGTGAGAACATCTACATGGGGCGACTCAAACTTTTTCCCACTCTTCTCATGTCCAAAATAGACCGCCAAAGAGCCATGAATATTAATTTTGGGGTTACAAATAAATTTTCGTGACTAGGTGAATTTGCAAATACAAAATTTTCAAATAATGAGGGTCAACTGTATCTGTACCTGTTTTTTAATTCAGGTCATTTACTATTTAGATAGTGACTACCAAAAGGAGCTGACAAAAGCAATGTGATCCCAATGGGAGTGGAGAGAGTACCGTCTGTATCTTACCATGTTTTCGAGCTTGGAAAGTTTTTCCACCTCCATTATGGTGCTTTCCACCTCTGTCAGCCACGAAGCCAGAGGATAAAGTCACATTGGTGGGCTGGTTTCTCATTTTCTTAGCATGTTTTCTTTCTTTTGCATTAGACATTTCTGGAAAGAAAGTAATAAATTTAGTACAGGGAAAGGGGACTTCTACTCAAAAATAAAAATAAATTTAACAAATATTCATGTGACTCAAAATTTGATCCTTCAATTTAATAAATCTTCATTCATTACAGGTGGATTGATAACATCAAAATGTTATCATGATACTGATCTACAGTGGGGATCCATAACCAGGCAGATCTCTAGAGGAGCCATGAATGGTGTTAACACCAAAAACCTGATTCAATAGAAAAACGTAATTCTACTGATGGAAGAGACCATATTAGTACATTCCAGTTTGCACTGCCAAATAATTAAGTCATATACCAATGTGAACACTGCACAAAGTCTGCTGAAAGAATGAAAAATGAGGTACAAGACCCCTATGCCATGGTAAAAAAATTAAATTACCTAAAACATTTAATCAAAATTCTTAGGTGAAACAAGAGCCACTGAATCAATGAAATATAGAACACTGTATTCCGATATGATAACCTCTACGAACACTGAGCATAAATTATTTATGTTTTCATTCCTACCACTGAGATGACGCCATCTGTACCTTTAATTTATAACAACAAAAAGATCTCAACTTGAAGTAAGAAGAATAAAGGACAAAAACCTGCTGGAGCCTCAAGGATTTACTCAGTAGTTCTCAACTCTCAAATTCAACATCCCCCTTTTGTTCTGAATAGTCTGAAACACCTGTTTTCTATCTTGAACTGAAACTCATCAATAACATAACCTACTAGACACATAGCTTTTACCAATACATGCCCTACAATATGTGCCCTAACTGTAATGTAAAGGAGAGCTAAAAAGTAATTTTAATAAAATAATATGTATATCCTGTACGTAAACATGTCACCACAACTGTACTAGATGACATTATGAAATAGGTATTTTGACCCCAGGGGGATAATCACACCAACATCAGCACCAGCATGGGCATTGACACAATCTGTAAAGCTGGAGAAGGGTCCTGGAAGCCCCCATGCCACAGTCATTAACTCTTTCCTTGCTGACTGTAGGGAAATCCAAAGGGTCCCACGTGAAGGAGGGACACTAGGAGGTAAGGAAGCTCAGAGGAGCAGAACCAAGCTGTTCTCACAGCATTTCAATATTTTAATGCTAGTCTTGACTTGTACCTCTACATAGAACTACCATGAACGCAACAGCTACAAAGGCAAACTAGTACAGGTGTGCTGTACTAACACCTCAAAGAGCAGGTAGCAATGCCACCGGTGACATCATTTTCCAGACTAGTGAACACTCCTTGGTAAAGTCCCAAAAAAAAAAAGGTACACTCTTGCCTTGATTTATTGCATTAAAACCATGCAACCAATACTTCGTGCTTTTATGTAAAACAGAGTTAGGTACTGGGCTACCGTGGGACTTTCCTGCACACTGCAGGATGTCTAACCTCCCTGGTCCCTGCCCAATAAATGCCAGTGGTGTCACCCCATCATTATGCCAGCCAAAAACACCTGCACGAACTTCCAAACTGCTATCCCAGGATTTGCACCACTCCCACCAAGTGCCACTGAATTAACTACCACCCATTCACCTACCTCCTTTCCAATGCAAGACCTCATATAAAATTAAGAGTAACTTATGTGGTGTAGTGTTTAAGGACTTTCAGTTTGGAGTTAGAAAGACCTAAATTCAAATACCTTCCTTAACACTTTTTAGCTATATAATCTTAGGAAAATTCCTTTCCCTCTTTGAGCCTCAGTCTCCTCCTCTATAAATAGGAATAATCACAAGGTGGCAGTGAGAATTAAATAAGGTAATGTACATAACACACTTAGCATGGGGCTTTGCATAAACTAAGGGCTCAGTTTATGGTAGCTATTACTCTTAAATAATAAAAGAAATAACAGAGATTTATGTCATTTCACTTTCTCATTCCACTCTGCTTTCACCTAAATCAAAAGCAACTACATCTACACTCAAAAACATTTTTCAAATTAAAAAATATGTAGGTAGTAAATGGAGTTCTGCAGAACCAGTTGGCTCGTGAAGGAAATGATTCAGATCAGTCTGCATTAAGAACCATTCAAAATTATTTCACAAAACCATTTAGTCCACCTACTATTACCTCCTTGAATCAGAACTTCCTGAGCAAGAGAGAGCACTACCTGGGAACCCTAGCTCTGCTCAAGACTAGAACGGGCCAGAAGCAGGCTGGGACTCAGGGATTAGGGTAACCTTTGGAAGTCACATCTCTGAGCTTAGGTTCTAGACTAAAAAATTAGCAGACTGAACTAGCAGTGGTCCTCCAACAGTTCTGACAGCAGAAGAGAATGAATATAGAATATATCCTTATGAAGTCTGAGGATTTAGCTTAAAAGAGGTTCCAGAAGGAATCTTAACTTCTACCTTAACATTCAAGTGAATTTTACATCTATTCCTAATATTCACAGTTTGTATTTGTTTTCATATTCATTCAGTCAAAACTTTAATGAGCACTAAATATGTGCCAGGCTTTATAAAACTGTTTTCCCTCCAAATATTCAAATAAATTGGATACGTCCTGTTTCTCCTATAGTTTAGTATCTCCTGGTTGGTCAGATACACCACTTGGCATAGTAGACTCCCGTTTGAGAATCTGGGAATTAACCAGGTAATTTCTCATTTCTTCTCTAAAAAGCTGGCGATTCAGACTCGATATAAAATCTGCCTCAAGAATACAGGTATCGGGCCGGCCCCGTGGCTTAGTGGTTGAGTGTGCGTGCTCCGCTACTGGCAGCCCAGGTTCGGATCCTGGGCGCGCACCGATGCACCGCTTCTCTGGCCATGCTGAGGCCACGTCCCACACACAGCAACTAGCAGGATGTGCAACTATGACATACAACTATCTACTGGGGCTTTGAGGAAAAAAAAGGAGGAGGATTGGCAATAGAT